GGTCCGGGCCCCCACCCCGCCGACGGACGGATCGTCAGGCAGGACGGGGTCTGCGAGCAGGGGAGGGGAGCTCCGTGTGACCTCGGGCAGAGGGTGAGCACAGTGAGGTCATTGCAGTGTGTGCTTGGGGTGGTCACAGCAGTCTGGGGCTGGGGGGAACTGGCCATCCCAGAAGCTGGTCACCAGGCCACAGAGTCTGAAAGTGCTGGGTGAATCAAGGGTGACCCTGGAGGGAGCTGGTCAGCGTCCTCCTGGTCTCAGCCCTCATGTCCTGTCTGGGTCTGTGACACCTGCCCGTGGCCCTCTCCTGCCCCCTGGCGGCTGACCTGGCTACTGCAGGAGGCCGGGGCATCCCCTCAGGTGAGGCCCAGAAGCTGAGTCTCAGGTGCTGACCCCTGGCTGGGGCTGCTGACTGACCTGGGCTGCTGTCTCCTTGGCCCCTGTGTCTTCAGATCAGCTGCCCCGGCCTCAGGTCACCATGGACACCTGAGCTGACCTCCTAGGGGAGGCTGCCCAGGGCGCACTGAGACGCACCTGCCAGGCCGTCAGTACAGGGGCCCGTGAGACCAGGATCCCACAAGGGCTCTTCGTGGCCAGCTGTGAGTCTGCCGCTGGGGCCTCGGGTGACCCCACCCACGACGACGGAACATGGGCCGGAAGCATTGTGACCGCACTTCAGAGGGGGACACGTTCCCTCGGAGCCTACGGCAGGACACGCCACGGCCTGGTCGGGAGCTCCGTGTGTGCTGCACCGAGCGGCAGGCTTGGCCACCCCAGACGCAGCCGGCAGTGTCATTCAGCTCCTGAGTGCTGGCCCCAGGCGTCCACAGCTTCCTCAGCTGCACACACCACGCAGCCGGGTCCGGGGAAGCGCTGTAGTGGCCGCCTGACCGGCTCTGGTCAGTGAACTTTCCTGAGAATTAGCAGTGTCACTGGGCTTAGACTCGGGTGGTCTAGAGTGGGACGTGATGGCTGGGGCTGCGGCAGCCATGCTGAGGCCTGATGTCCCCCAGGGAGAAGCAACATCTGCACAGCGGGTGGGTGAACCGGCAAGGGACAGGATGAGGGGCCTCGTGGTGTGGAAGCTTCTCGGATCAGCCGCCTCATCCGCACTTACCCAGGAGAGACACGGTCCGGGTGGTCGTATCACGTCTCTGTGAGGAGAAGACGTGGTTTTCCGGCCTCGGACACGATGAACAGAAATCAGTGGCTGAGAACGACAGTGGATGATCCGCACTCAGACCCCTGGTGCCAGGGCAGACCGGAACTGGGGCTGTGTGGTGACGCTGCGGAAGCCCCTCGTGGAGAGAGGACTTGGGGATGGGAGCTGGGAAGGCGGAGTAGTGGCGAGGTCTGCAGTAGAGTTGACTTGGCGCCAGTGGACGTGACCGAGGCCAGGTCAGCTCAACCCGACACAGCTCGTGTCTGCCTCTGTTTGTGGACACAGGTGAGACTCATCTTTTTCCTTCCCTGAATCAGAACTATGAGTGGCGCTTGCCCTGCTTGGGTCAGCCCTCAGTCAGTCTGGGGGGCTCCCCTTCAGGGCCGCGGAGGCCCGGGCAGCGTCTGGGCCTGCATGTGGCACGGGGAGCCCCGTCCAGACATGGGGAGCCCACTCCATAACTGGGTGTTGGAGTCCCTCTCCATCTATCGAGGTCTTTGGAGGCAAGACAGGCAGGACCCTAAGGTGGGAGGCGTCGACGAGGGGAGATTCTTAAAAGGGGGGAAAGGAGAGAAAGGTGAAAGGGGAGCGAGGAAGACCCGGGAATCAGAGTTGCGTGCAAGTGTTCCTGCTCATCTTTTTGCAGGTCTGTATTTGTACTGTTTAGCAAGATTTAGTTACAATATGCATCAGGTAAGTTAATAAGAAATCGCATAAACCTTTTAAAGGAAGAGGGGAACAATGCAACCTCTTCCTGCTACTTTATGGCACACTAGGCTGTACATCTCTGTGATAGCTTTCATGTATACGGATGTTTTACTGTGACTTTAAAGGGTCAGGGTCTGGGGAAGGATGAGCTGTTAGCAAAGGATTTAGGAGTCCTAGGGAAGCAATAAATTGTGTGAGCAGACTCTTCAGTGGTAGTCTCAAGAAAAGCTATGGCTCCCTTAAGTTTAGCAGAGAGTAGCTAGTGTTTGTTTGAGGGAAAGTTTAATTAAGACTAGCAGAGAGTAGTTCGTGATTGTTGTAGGAAAAGAGTAAACTAAGAGGAAGTCACGTAGTTATGCATCAAGCAAAACCGGAGTTGATAAT